GGTCACATCCCTGGAGGACAAAATTAAAGGGCCCCAATGGAAATAAGACGGTCCCAATACAGTGTAACCTCAGTTTTCATGATTAATTCATGCCAGAAAGTCTGACATAAACCAAATTGTACAAAAACTGAAGCAATATTTCACATAAGAAATAATGTAAATCCAATTAATTCATTGCAGACACCCAAAAATATTAACAAAAAGTACATTTTATGGAGAATAACTATAATTTTACATACAGAAAATGAAGAAATAAATATAAATGACTAATGAAATGGATAAATGAACATTTAACATCACTTTTACCTTTACTGAAGACTCTTGTTGGCGTATGGAAGACGGCAAGGAGGGGAGAGGACTTCAGGTATCATGGCCCTATCCGGGATTACTTCCCTTCTTTGTCTTTTATTGGCACCAGTACCAGCTTGAGAGTCACTGTACCCCTGTCACATAAAAAATATGTCCAGAGAGGTCTGTTTCTGGCATCTCTTTAAGATTTGCCTAAAATGGGACAAGGCATTGTCACTGAACATGTTGCAGACATAGCTTGCAACAGCTATGCCTGCAACTCGCAACTATGCAACTCGCTCCACTTTACACACATGTCCTTAATCACTGAAGAAGGCACATTCTCCCCTCTCTCTTTTTCCTCCTCTGAAGCAGTTTCCTTAACTGCTGTCTGTTGCTGTTCCAGTTGAAGGTGTTGCAGCTCTTCAGTGGTTAGCTCTTCCCTGTGATCGTCCACTGACTCTTCCACATCCTAGCCACTCACATCCAACCCCATGGGCTTCCCCAAAGATACAATACATGTAGATTCCACAACAGGCGTACGGTCGTCAGGGTCAGCCTCAAAATTCTTTTCTTGGACACATTCTGGCCACAATTGTTATGAAATGTTTCGGCTGAACGCGCGGGGTAATGCTCACTCAACGCTAAACAAAAGCAGACTGAGTCACTTGGAGTTTGAGTGGCTGAGTGGCGCTGGCGGGCAGGCGGACGCGTTCGGTACAGACCATTGTCAACTGTACGAAAACTAAGGTGATGTACAAAAACTGGGACAAAATTTTGACGGAAAAGATCGTTGAAAACCGAATCCTACAAAAACTGGGGCGTACGAAAACCGAGGTTCCAGTGTGTTACACTGACTTTATTGGGTTATCCTGGGTGGCTAACTCTCAGGGGTTAAAAATATGAACAAATTCTTATCTTGTGCTTTCAATGAATGTAATAATTGTGGAGATAGGAATCATGTAGCACAACTTTAGGCAAAGATTGCTGTAATAAGGTTAGGATCTGTAGAGCCTATGTTGAAGGTAGGACTCTCTTAGTAGACATAGAATTTACAGATGTGCAATTTGGGATATGACAACTAGAGGTACAGTATACCTGGAGGGTGTTCTGGGGGTCAGTGCCCCCATGGCCCAGTCCATGACCAGGCCTCATGGTGGATCAGGGCCTGATCGCCCAGGCTGTTACTGCTGGCCATGTGCAGACTGACGTACAAACCACAGCCCAGCTGGTCGGGAACTGATTTAGGCGCCTGTACAGCTCCCTCTTGAAGTCAGGCAGGAGTCCATTGGTAATCCCTCTTATGTATGCTGGGAGGCAGTTGGACAGTCTTGGGCCCCTGACACTTATTGCATTATCTTAGTGTACTCATGGCACCCCTGCTTTTCATTGGGGGGAGTGTTGCACCACCTTTTGATTCTTTTTGCTTTCGTAGGGAGTGATTTCCGTGTGTAGATAAGGGACCACTCTCTCTAGGATTTTCCAAGTACCTGCCATTGGCTCTGTATCAGCTCTCCCATGATCAAACCGGGTTGATCTTCAGATCAAACAGACTGTTACTGCTTGAACCTCAGTGTTCAATATGGATGCTGCAGTCTGTCTGATCAGGGATGATCAGACAGATTGCAATGAGCACATACAGTGGACCCCCGCATACCGATTTTAATCCATGCAAGAGGGGTCATTGTTATGCGAAATAATCGGTATGCGAATGAATTTTCCCCATAAGAAATAATGGAAATCAAATTAATCCGTGCAAGACACCCAAAAGTATGAAAAAAAATTTTTTACCACATGAAATATACATTTTCCTACACACAAAGAGAAGGATACATGCACAATAGTAGAGTAGTACATGCACGATATATATTGTGCATGTACTACTCTACTAAATGAAGAATAAATGACACTTACCTTTATTGAAGATGCAGCAATGACTGATGACACTGTGTCCTGGGAGTGCCTTTTCCTCCTGAGTACTGTAGGTCCTGTTTGGTATTTTCTTCCAGAACAGGCCTTATCACACTGTGTATGTCACTACGATTCTTAAATCTCTCAAACCAACCTTTGCTGGCTTTAAATTCACCAATATGAGCACTAGTTCCAGGCATTTTTCCCTGTTCACCTGGGTGTTAGTCGACTTGTGTGGGTTGCATCCTGGGAGACAAGATTAAGGACCCCAATGGAAATAAGTTAGTCTTCGATGACACTGACTTTTTTGGGTTATCCTGGGTGGCAAATCCTCTGGGGTTAATTGTTTCTGGTATTCTCAATAAGCCACACCAACAACAGTGCTACAGCAGCAGCAGCAGCTGACGGTGGTACAGCAGCAACAGACGATGCTACAGCAGCAACAGACGATGTTACAGGCAGCAGCAGATGATGCTACAGCAGCAGCAGCAGCTGACTGTGGTACAGCAGCAACAGACGATGCTACAGCAGCAACAGACATGTTACAGCAGCAGCAGACGATGCTACAGCGCAGCAGCAGCTGACAGTGCAGCAGCAGCAGCAGCAGCTGTACCACCAATATAGCGATGGTTGATTGGGGTTTTATTATACAACCTGGCCAGCTCGGAGACACGCACTCCACTTTCATACTTATCAATGATCTTTTTCTTCATCTCTATTGTAATTCTCACCCTTATTGCTGTAGGGTTGGCACTAGAAAGCTTTCTTGGGGCCCATGGTCACTTATTTCCAAAAAAGCACTGAAAACACTGTAATAATACGAAATATTCCGATTGTATGCTTGGATGTTACCGCGGAGGCTGGCTGGTAAACAATGCCACCAGCGGAACATGTGAGCATGGCTCAGGCCGCACATTGGACGCGTCTAGGACGAAAATCGGTGAGCGGGTTTTTAAGCGGTATGCGAGGCAAAATTTTTGCGATTAAAGCAAGCGGTATGCGGATTAATCGTTATGTGATGCCATCGGTATGCGGGGGTCCACTGTATAATGGAGATAAAAATTGGGTAGTGGTTAAAAAATATGCAGATGACAGTGCCTGTATGGTGGAGAGAAAATATAAGAGTTGGTCCTGTACTCCTTAAAAAAAAATAACTGCGGTATGTGAAATGAGAATTTCACGTAACTGAATTATAAAAGCAAGAGATTGTGTAAATAGTACTGGGGACCGATTGAGCAACCTCTGGCCCTGGAGGCCAGAAGTTGGTGAAATAGATAAATAAGAATTTACAGGTAGGGTCAGGAACCATGACTCAACCCATGCAAACACTAGATGAGCACAGTGTGCACAAAATTATTTTTCTAGCACTGTATAAAGATAGAATATATAGTGTTGAGTTAATGTTGCAATCCCATTTCTTAACCCTTAAACGGTCCAAACATATATGTTCACGCGCGTAGCGCCCCAAACGTATATATACGTTTTCTTTGTCATTCATTCAACATTGCCACAATAAGCCTGAGTCACCTAGACATGAGAGAATGGGCGTGCACACTCACTGTGTGCCATATTAAAATAATTGGGGATGCCTGGGTACCATATGCTCTTTTTTCCTTTTAAAAGAAAAGATTTATTTTTCCTCAAAAAATTTGGGGCGCTACGAGAGTAAACGTATATATACGTTTGGACCGTTTAAGGGTTAAAATGAGGATGGTTCTGGTAGTTGTTCATAATGATCTCTATGTCCTAGCATTAGCACATCTTTTATAGTATTCTCTTAAAAGAAAAGTACATGTTATTATGTTAATCAGGGTATTGACATCCTTTTCACTTCTCTTGTTAGGTATGACTTTCGAAATCGCAAAACCATCACAAAGGAGGATGCGGAGAAGATGGGAATCGAAATGAAAGATCAATCTGAAGTCACTTTGGAAACAGAATTTGAAAAAATTAGTAAGGTACAGAAATGATTTATGTATTTTGGGTGATGTTTTGTTTAGTGTCACATATGAGCTCAAGACAGAAAAAATTTACCGCAAAATGGACAGCTTGGTACATTTAGTGGTGGCATTATTACTGCAGCTGTTCGAGGGTGTTAGGAGTCTCTCTGCTTATGATCACTCATAAGCAAAGAGGCCGAATTAAATGTGTCGGCAGAGATGTACCTGTATTTGTGCAATGTTTAGGTTAGGGAGGAATTTTCTTTTTCTTTGTGACATCAATGGTATTATTTCCACAGCCACTTCGATCAATTGGTAATAATGGGTTCACTATAAAATGCCAGCACTATCATTAGCATTTCCTTTGCAGTCTGATAAACTGACAGTCCAATGGACTGTCAGTTTACAGACCTTGGTTTGAGCCCCTCGTCCACCCTTCTGTTTATTCATTGACAGTGGTTTATTACAACTTAATTAAGAGTCCATGTCCTACTTTATTTGTCTTTATCACATTTACTCATCAGATAACTTGATTTAAAGCAGTTCTGTAATTTGTATTAAATTTAAAACAAAGTAAAGCACAGGAAAGCCCTGATTAGTATCATGAGTTGCTTCTAGAAAGGATCATATCTACAGAACACTTTTCAAGGGGTCCATTTTCCCTTTATAATAAAATGTGATTCCAGCTTTGAAGTATTCACATAAATTCTGGTGCCAAAAATGCATGTTAAATGCTGTGATGATATTTGGAGAGTCATTTAAGCTATGCTCATGTCTAATCATTGTAGACATAGGAATATAGCTCTGCCCATGGTATCCAGTCTTCATTGTAGGTGCAGAATAGGTATCCATTCTTCATTGAAAGTACAAGAATATATATGCTATGTTCATATCTACTGTAGTCATTGTAGGTACAGGAATATAACTATCCTCATATCTACTGTAGTCATTGTAGGTACAGGAATATAACTATGCTCATATCTACTGTAGTCATTGTAGGTACAGGAATATAACAATGCTCATATCTACTGTAGTCATTGTAGGTACAGGAATATAACTATGCTCATATCTACTATAGTCATTGTAGGTACAGGAATATAACAATGCTCATATCTACTATAGTCATTGTAGGTACAGGAATATAACTATGCTCATATCTACTACAGTCATTGTAGGTACAGGGGTATAATCATGCTTATGGTATCCAGTCTTTATTGATTAATTTGTCAGTGGTGATAGCTTTTTATTACCTCTTTAATCTCATTCCCATGGCCTGTTACTGAAAAAAAAATTACAGTGCATTTTACCATTGCTTTTTGCTCATATTACAAATGCTGCATCTTGTTCACCATTTTGATGGTGATAAAAAGATGTCAAGATTACAGTTTTGTTAGGCCAGTTATTTTTTTCAGACCAGTTTACTTTGTATGGTTTTTCTGAGTACAACAAGGAAGAAAGTCTGTTTTGTGTACAATGGAAATAAGTCACTTTGACTTTTTATGGGGTTATCCTAGGTAATTTACACTGTGTATGATAATTGTACTTACGTGTACCTGTTCCTAAATAAAACTTACTTGCAAATGATGAAGGGTTGAGCCTCCACCACTTCTTGCTCTGAAAATAATAATCATACTAATCATCATAAAAATATAGCAGTAATTTTCTAGTATACCACACATCCCACAATAGCCAATCTTGTGAGCCTGGCCACCACTGGAGGGAGATGGACTTGCCTCTTTGTGCAAGAGTTGCTTGGAGGGAGAAAAGAGGGAACAGGTAATTGCCAAGCATAATTTTGAGCTAACATAACCTTTGTCAATAAGCAAACAGTTACCACATGAGATTTTACCAGGTGAACAGGCATGAAGTGGGGGGATTACTGTAAAACTGTACTTTAAATCATTATTTCAAATGTTTATTCTAAAATTTGACCTGGCAGATTGATATCAATAACTGGAAGAATGTGCGAGGGCCTCGTCCATGGGAAGAGCAAAATGAACAGCACCAACAAGTTCCGCAGCAAGCAAAGAAGAGCCAGGAGAACTAAAATATAGAATAACTGAAAAATACAGTACTGAAATTCTTAGTTACAGTGTATAATATATGACATTTGTAGAACATTATGCGGTATATATCTTAAAAGCTGTAATTATAATTAATTCTATATAATTTTAATCCTCTAATACTGTACATAGAAAGCACATGAAACTATCTAGTCTAAGGGAATGAGTGTAAATATTGATCAAATACAGGCACATGACTAATGAGACTTTTATTGACGTGACCTTAAAATACATTTGGAAGGTGTTTGATTTTGCTTTTGGTCAGTGGTGCAGAAATAATGTACAGTGTCTTTATATAACATTTTGAACATGACAGAATTTGTGTATTATGGAGCTGAATTTTATAAATATACAATATGAGTGCATAGAACTGTTCATAATTGTGAAGAAGGAATAATTATTTTGAATACCCCAATAACCATAAAGGGAAATCTAGAATTGGACATGAACTATTAATCTTTGTGATATTATTAAATGTGATGGTGTGGATATAGTAGTCAAAATGCGTCGGTCAGCAATCCTGGCCCCTTACGTCCCATTAAGTGTGGAAGAGTTGGAAGCTGTCCGCTCAGTAAAAGAATGGAAGTCAAAAAAAGTGAGAGCTGTTGGTCAACTGACAGAAATTTCTGCCAAAACAGCCGTGTTGGAATCAGTATCTGATCCTGACGAAATGTGTAGTATTTGGGTAAGTTTATCTTTTAAATTTTTTGTGCACCTTGTACTGGTACAGGAGTGTGGCCTAGTGTTTTACAGGAGTGTGGCATAGTGTTGTATGGAAGTGTGGCATAGTGTTGTACAGATGTGTGGCAATGTTGTACAGAAGTGTGCATTGTACAGGAATGTGGCATAGTGTTGTACAGGAGTGTGGCATAGTGTTGTACAGGAGTGTGGCATAGTGTTGTACAGGAGTGTGGCATAGTGTTATACAGGAGTGTGGCATAGTGTTGTACAGGAGTGTGGCATAGTGTTGTACAGGAGTGTGGCATAGTGTTGTACAGGATTGTGGTACAGTGTTGTACAAGAGAGTGGCACAGTGTTTTACAGGAGTTTGGCATAGTGTTGTATGATCCTATGGAGTGTTTCAGCTCAGCAGGGGCCCCTTTAATCTGTAGACCATCAGTTTTATGCAGAAATATAACATGACTGTCATATGTTGTACGAGCTGAAGGGATAAATTAAAATTGGCCTACATAAACTGGCTATCATGTAGTGTTTTGCTATGACTTTATAATATTCTGCATTACTATGGAATAACATTCAGGTGTTCCTCGACTTCTGATAATAATACAGCCTCTCCTCATTTAACGACATTCCTATCGCTAAACCATATCGGTAATGAATTCGTTGCTAATAAGGGCATTACTATAATGGTATGGTTGTGTCAACCATCTTTGATATTAGTTTTAAAGTCACCTTTGCACCATTCTAAATAATCTTCTGGTATGATTTTAAATGTTTGTACAGTAATGTACTATATACATGTAATAATCAGAATAGAAAGAATCAGCTTTAATATACATTATTTAGGTATGCACGCTAGCCAGAGAGGCTGTCATAAGTCCGAGTCGTTGGTAAACGAGTACGTCACTAAGTGAGGAGAGGCTGTAATATAATATAATAATAATAATAATACATCTTTATTTACTACAAGTACATGTACAAGGTATACAGGCCTAGCTGACATCAATGACCTACTGCTAAATAGAAAGCCGCTTGTTATGCTGAGCATTTTGGGCAAATTAGGTCAGTTTTGTCCTAGGATGTGACCCACACCAGTCAGCTAACACCCAGGTACCCATTTTATACTGATGGGTGAACATGGACGGCAGGTGTCTTATGGACACACGTCCCTAATGTTTTCCAGCCTTACCGGAGGAGATTCAAACTCTGGACCTCAGTGTGTGAGCTGAGTGCGCTAGTGATATTTTAACTTTAAGATTCTGCAAAAGCAATTGCTTTGAGAATGAAAGTTAAGATAATTACCCAGCATGAAGATGGGAAGTCCATAACTTGTATTAATTTATTTACTTTTTAATACTGATTTATTTATCCAATGACTGTAGTTATTTATTATTAATTTAGCATATCACGTCTGACACGATATTTTCGACTTACGATGAGTTCGTCGGAACGTAACCCCCATTGTAAGTCGAGGATCACCTGTACCTTGATACTTCTGAGGAACTCTTCAGCCAGGCAATTAGATCTATCCCTCACTTATTTAAAGTCAACCTGATTGCCTTCCTTTTTTCCCAGACACTGTATGACTCCTACAGATTTAGTACTACAGTATACTGTAATAATAATATTGGCCAAACAAAGTGTGTAAGTTCATGATAGTAAAACTGAAAAAAATAAATTTGACCATGAAGTTAATATATCATATCATTGATATTAAATATAGTACGTAATTCATTCTTTCTCCCTATCTTCCTCTCCCTTCCTCTCCATCTCTCTTCATCCTTCTCCACTTCTTCATCCTTCATCCCTCCCTGCCCCTCTTCATCCCTCCATCCCTCTGTCCTTCTTCATCCCTTTATCCTCCATCCCCTCCTCCTCTTCTCCTTAAACCAGCTCATGACTGTTTCTGTCTCGATTTTAATTGTAATTTTTGTTAACAGAATAATCAGATTTGTGTTATATACATAATACTTTATTATTATAGAATAAGTTATGAATCCCCTTCTGTGTTCTCTGGTGGTGGGCATAATAGTTGAGTGTGTGGGCAAGTTAGTTTGATGCCTGCATTGCTAACATGCTTGCTAGTTTGGGTTATGTATAAGAACATAAGAAAGGAGGAACATTGCAGCCAGCCTGTTGGCTCATACTAGGTAAGTCCTCAAACCCAAACCCACTAACAAAAATATTTGCCCAACCTATTTTCAGTGCTTCCCAAGGAATGAGCTTTGATACCCTATTAACTGGTGTGGTAGTTCCACTCAAATCCAACCCCTCTCACTCGTGTATTTATCTAGCCTACATTTGAAGCTACCCGTGGTTTTAGCTTCAGTGATCCTATCAAGCAGACTGTTCCGCTCATCGACTACATTTCCAAACCAGTACTTTCCTATATCCTTTTTAAATCTAAACTTTTACAATTTGAATGGATTATATCGAGTTCTTTCTTGGAGGGATATCCTCAGGGCCTTATTTGTATCTCCTTTGTTTCTGCTCATCTTCCACTTATACTCTTCAGTCATGTCTTCCCTCATTCTTCGTCTTACAAGAGTAATTCTTCATCGTGTAAGTTATGGATTATTAATTTGGTTGCAGGGTTGGTAGTTAAATGGTTTGTAAGTTTAGGGAGTTGGTAGTTTACTGGGTTCATAGTTTTGTGGGCTGGTAGTTCAGTGGGTTGATAATTTTATGATTTTGTTGGCAGTTTGATGGGTGGGTTGGTAGTTTGATGGGTGGGTTGGTAGTTTGATGGGTAGGTTGGTAGTTTGATGGGTGGGTTGGTAGTTTGATGGGTGGGTTGGTAGTTTGATGGGTAGGTTGGTAGTTTGATGGGTGGGGTTGGTAGTTTGGGGGAGGGGCTGGTAGTTTGATGGAGGGGCTGGTAGTTTGATGGAGGGGTTGGTAGTTTGATGGGTGGGTTGGTAGTTTGATGGGTGGGTTAGTAGTTTGATGGGTGGGTTGGTAGTTTGATGATGGGGCTAGTAGTTTGATGGGTGGGCTAGTAGTTTGATGGGTGGGTTGGTAGTTTGATGGGTGGGTTAGTAGTTTGATGGGGGGGTTGGTAGTTTGATGGAGGGGCTGGTAGTTTGATGGGTGGTTGGTAGTTTGATGGAGAGGTTGGTAGTTTGATGGGTGGGTTGGTAGTTTGATGGGTGGGCTGGTAGTTTGAATGGTGGGTTGATAGTTTGGAGGGGGCTGGTAGTTTGAATGGTGGGCTGGTGGGTGGGTTGTGTGGGCTGGTGAGTGGGTTGGTGGGTGGGTTTTGTGGCCTGGTTGGTGGGTTAGAGGTGGCAACACTTAGTTATCATGGCTTGTGGGTGGATTGGGTGGGCTGGTGGGTGAGTGGGTGGGTTGTTGGGTGGGCTAGTGGGCTGACTGGTGGGTTGTTAGGTGGGCTGGATGGTGGGTTAGATGTGGCAACACCGCGCTTAGTTACCATGACTACAGAGATCAAAGTTGCCAGTTGTTCTCTCAGTAATATTTCCCAGACCATTTTTGTCTCATTATGTATCTTTCTCACTGCCTTGACCAACATTAAATGTTTTAATAAAGGAGAGAGGTTATAAATAATAAGTAAAAGTGGGTAATATGTTATTTAATGGAGTATAATAATAGTAATATGGTGTTGTGTGGCAGGGAAGGGCAGGTTGACGGCAGGCTGCTGCCTGCCTGGCTGCCTTCCTTCCTACCTTGGGAGTTTTCCAACAAGAACAGCTGATGAGCAAAACAACAACCACAACAACAATACTGTCATCATAAGTGTGTATTATAGTTAGTGTCTGAGTTATGGTAGTAGTAATAACTTTCATACAATGGCTTCTCCACCTTCATAACTCTTTATTAACGATAATATTTATATCTAACTCTTCTCTCTTACTTCAGTATTCTTACTCTTGTATTTACTCTACATTAGACTGCCTTCTAGGCTCTATTATAGGCCTACCTTGTGTGCTTTTAATATTTACAGCATCTTAATGTGTAGCCATTTTTAATATTTTTCAGTGGTATTTTTTTGGGCATTATTTTCCTTAAGATTCTCTCTAACTTTACTTACAACATATAAAGTCAATTATTCAATCATAATTGTTCTTGATAATGATGAGAAATGTGGAAATATGTCTATTGAAAATTTTTGAGTACAATTAACTGTAATATGTAAAGTAATTAAAATAATATAAGTAATAATTTCTCTTCAAGGTGAGAACCTTAATATTGAAGGGCTCTTGATCTAAGGCACTGGGACTTTCTTACCCTTCCATATATCAAGGCTAATTACCTGCCATTACCACCACTCATTATTGTTATATTTCATAAATATAATTAATTAATATCTTCAAACATTCCAAGAAAAACATATAATCAAGAATAATCTAAGATATGTTAAGTAATACGTATAGTATTACCATTTATGAGTCACATGTAATAATATTGCCATAGTGTATATGTTAAGTAATATTACCAGTCATGAGTCAGATGTATGTTAGGTAATATGTATATTATTACCAGTCATGAGTCAGGTGTATGTTAGGTAATATGTATATTATTACCAGTCATGAGTCAGGTGTATGTTAGGTAATATGTATATTATTACCAGTCATGAGTCAGATGTATGTTAGGTAATATGTATATTATTACCAGTTATGAGTCAGATGTATGTTAGGTAATATGTATATTATTACCAGTCATGAGTCAGATGTATGTTAGGTAATATGTATATTATTACCAGTCATGAGTCAGGTGTATGTTAGGTAATATGTATATTATTACCAGTCATGAGTCAGATGTATGTTAGGTAATATGTATATTATTACCAGTTATGAGTCAGATGTATGTTAGGTAATATGTATATTATTAACAGTCATGAGTCAGGTGTATGTTAGGTAATATGTATATTATTACCAGTCATGAGTCAGGTGTATGTTAGGTAATATGTATATTATTACCAGTCATGAGTCAGATGTATGTTAGGTAATATGTATATTATTACCAGTCATGAGTCAGGTGTAT